GAGGCGGCATATATATATATGCATGGGGGATAAAAATCCCGATCACTAATATTTTCGAGCTACGAAAGTGATTGAAATATTTATTCTTTGATTTAAGATTATCCATAACTCTGATTTCATCAAACTCACTATAAAACTGATCGACTTGACAAGAAAAAACCATTGTTTCCAAAGTAAGTCTAATACGACACAAATCAAATCTAGATCAAGCTATTAAACCACTTTTAGAAAATTTCAGTGCATAATTGGAAGTTAAAAATATTCCAAATCAAACAAGCTTACAGTTAAATGGAGCCTCTCGACAGACGAACTGAATGGGTCCAATATCACTCAATTCTGATATAATTGAGACACTTGAATGTCCACAGAACATCGTGTGATAGAGAGAACCTCCCTAAGCAGCCCAATCAGAGTGGTCCAAATTAAAAATTATTTGTGACCTGGGCTCTATAAATAGAGCAAGGTCCCTACTCGAGTGGGGACCTAGACCTTGAGCCAGACAAAAAACTGAAACTTGTAGAAGTAATTGAAGTCCATTATCGCTTATGCACCAAAGATCCAGAGAATAACTCGCTCATGTAACCATCAACCACTACCAACCACTACTTACAGACCACTTTAGCCACCGATGGTCGCCCTCTACTCGTTGCAGCGAAGCTCCATGCGGAGTCAAAACTTGCATTGTGGAGTGAGAAGTAACAACTGAAGCCATGGAGTTACAAAACATCCAACAGAGCAGTTCATCATCCTAAACATCGTGACAACCTAAAAAATTATGTACAAAAGCTCCAATAACAACTCTCCACTATGGGTGCTCATATCATGGGCTAACGAGCTCTTTTCTCCACGACCATTATAAGTCGAGAAGCTATATAACTTTTTCCCGCCTGCAGAACAAAAGCTTCTACATATAATTATTAACCCATAGTGAATCATTTCAACAACGCTAAACTCCTGCGATTTTTTTTTCCTTTCGGGTTTTTCAAGTAAAAATATTTGTTCTTTCCACTTATCACCTTTATTACCCAAGTATGTGCTTGATTCTCCTGTAACACTAAGACGACGATTCATTGCTCCATTGTCACGAATTTTCTAGCACACATCAACGTTTACATAATGTGATTACTATTTTTCATAAGAAAAAATATCATATGAATCAAAGAAAAAGTCATAATTCTATCCTTTCTCAAAACAAAGAAGAAGATGGCAAATTATAATCACCCTCTTGGGTGGGGGTTTATAAAACTGAATACAAAATATAATGATGCAATGATTTATATGTCTTGGATGGAAAATATTACAAACGATGACCCAGCTGAAATAATTTACCGAATAAAAAACAGTCAGACTAAATCTATTATATCTGTCTACTCCCTAAAACTAATAATAAATAATTAAAAAAAAAACTGGCAGCTTACATCGACCTAAATCCTGATACCTAAAAATGCCAGAAAAAGAGACCAAACCTAGAAAATAAGTAAAAGCAAATACCAACCCTACCTAAATTACCAATCCCTTGCCGTCTATCAAACTATTCCCATCTATAGAGCACCAAAACACACAGCCGGCTCATCGACCCGGCCGGTCCAGGTCAGCAGGAGCTGACCGGCGGCGCGGAGATCACAACCAGCTGCTCATCCTTCTTCCGCCGCATTTCCAGTACTTTCCGGTGACTGTTAGAATGTATATTGCTGACAAATGAAGGGCTGCATGCTGGCCTGTACTCCGGCAGCAACCGGCCAGACTTGTACCGAACACCACACGCGTTGCAGAGAGTCTTTGCACCCTGCGGCCCTGCACGCCACTGAGGTGTCTTGTGAACTCCGCAGTGAGTGCAACGTCTCTCCGCCGGTGAGAAAAATGGGTTCTTTGGCTTTCGGCCTCGTTTCTTCAGCTTCTGGGCTTTAGAAAGAGCTAAGCTTCCGTCCATGGTGAAGCCGGTGAAAGGAGAGAGATCATGGAAGTAAGAGTTGAATGATGAAGAAGAGGAGGATGAGGAAGGGGTTGGCGAACAGGAGGTGAAGGTGGTGAGGGAAGATGAAGGTGAAGAGTCTGCGAGTTTAAGAGAGCCGGAAAGTGACCATAAAGCCCTGCTTTTTCGCAAGCGTTTACTTCGCTTTGCTTTGATGGGGACGAGAGATTCAGTTGAGAGGCTGCCGGCTGCAGTGGCCGTGCTGAAAAGTGATGGAGCTGGTAGAGACCCGGTGGAGTAACATTTGGACATGTGATTTTGGGCTGGAAGCGAAGGTGGGGAAGAGGGGAACTCCTTAGCGCAATCGTCGAAGAAAGTTGACAACCATTCCAACGAGGCGGCATCGGTCTCCTGCAAGATTTGCGGCAAAAACCATTAGAAATTGACATATTTGGGGATAAAGGAGCTTCTTTTTCTCAGCAAGCAGTGAAACGCACTTACGTGGAGCGTGATTTCGGAGTAGAGCTCAAGACGCTCGTTGTTTTCGCTGTCTGCACAAGGAAATGTTTTCAGGGGAGAGAAGCTGTGTTTATGGTTTGGGGCTTCTGTGACTTTCGGAGCCTCCTCGTCTTCCTCAGACTCAGGAAGTCCCCTGAGGTCAAGGAGGTCGTCTACCTGGAAGTCCTCCCCAAGGAGATTGTCCCTCTCCCCTAGCCAGGCTACTTCTTCGATATCGCCGGCTGGAAACCCCTGTTCACGTGCTGATGAGAGCATGTCCTTCATCAACTTCATCTCAACCTAGACATCATTAAAGCAAAAAAAAAAAAAAAAAACTTTTTCAGTCAGGTATACACAGAAAAGGCGCCATTTTTCCTCTGCTCCTCATCTCAAAAACAAGAATTTTAAGCTCTCATCAAACATGATATACCTGAGATGCGCGCGTGTGCGGCGGCGAAGGAGATAACAGACGGCCGGCGTACAACGGAATGCTCGAGGATGATGAGCCTCCGTAAAAGGAAGCAGACGGAAGAGTTGAAAGGTAGGAGAACGATGCAGAAAAGGGTTGAAACGAGCCGAGCGTTTGGTGGAGCATTGAATGGCTGAAAGAGTCCGTGGGCGTAACTAATGCTCTGCTCTCTGCCTTCTTTCGCCGTTTCTTCCTTTTGCCATTTTTGTTCTTTTACAACACCACCCCTCTTCTATTCCAAAATTTCAAATTCAAAATTTCAAATCCTCCACCCCCAAAACTCTATTTTTTTTCCCCTTAAAATATAAAGATTTTCTCATCTCTGTAGTCATTTTTGCATTTTTTTAATCACATCTATATAAAGTCTTGAAATTTAAATATTACTTAATTACTCCTTCTGCAATTAAACAAAATGTTCCTAAAATCATCAGTCAGCAATGTCCTAATCCGACAGCGCATATGTAACGCACATGTCTCTCCCGCCACCTGGCATCGTCTTCACTGTAAAGAAATAACTTATTTTCACAAATTTTTTGCTTGATTTACACATTTTCAAAAATGTTCCGTTTTAACTTCCTATTTTTCTTTTGTAAACGGATAGTCCACGGACCACTTCGAAACCGTAGATTTCCAAACGAATCCAACGCGTTATATTTTTTTGGACAATTCTGCCCTCCCACTCATAATAAATTATTCCATGCGGCAACATATATGCAAAGATACATACGGTATTTGATCTTCGCCGTCATCACAGTAATTTTTTTTTTATATAAAAAAAAAATCAAAATAGGGACCACCATTATACATATTTGCTGTGATAGACAATGAAAATCAGATACTATATGCATCTCTACATATGTTCCAATAATCTTTTGGCAACATATATGCAGAGATACATAAGATATTTGATCTTCACCGTCATCACAGCAATTTTTTTTATATAAAAAAAATCAAAATAGGGACCACTATTATATATATTTGCTGTGATGGAAAATGAAAATCAAATACTGTATGCATCTCTATATATGTTCTAATAATTTTTCGGCAACATTTATGCAGAGATACATGCGGTATCTGATCTTCACCGTCATCACAGCAATTTTTTTTTTATATAAAAAAAAAATCAAAATAGGGACCACTATTATACATATTTATTGTGATGGACAATGAAAATTAGATATTTTATGCATTCCAATAATTTTTCCTCACTTAGGGTAGATTGAGGAACAAATTTATTTATTTTTTTTCGGGACGACGAGTCCAAGGCGTAATTACTTGCGTGATCTCAGGGCATCTACGTATTATTGCTTCCGAATTTTCCATTTTTCAAACATTTCTTTTAATTCGCTTCCTCCTTTTGGCTATCGTCATCCAGCCGGCCCACGCGGTTTACAGAGCCCGGTTCGTCAATTTTGACGGTATTGACCCGGTCTCGATGCATAATTACATATATAGCCCTCCTCTTGTGCGGACACGATTCCTTCCGTATGATGCAAGCAGAATAGGAAATGCACTTCGGTGGTTGTTTCCAGCCGGTGGTTTTACCGGGAAAGTCGTCCACGTGGCAGCCGAACCGGTCATTTTCCGACCTGGCGGCCACCCACCCATGTCTCCACGCGAACGTGTCAGAATTTGATTAGTGGAGGGAGGTAATTTTGGAATTCAAAGTGGAATCGTTGGGTACGTTCACCGCATGGTGAATGACCGGCATGGCATGATGTAAATCATAATAAAATATGGCATTATTGTGAACGTTACAGAATAGGTTGGGTGCATTGCCGGCCCGCCGGTTTGAAATTATTTTCCGGGCATACAATTATGTTTTGAGTAGTAAATGCTAAGGAGAACATGATGCATTTTGGCATATAACTTCTTAACAACTTCCTTATTTTTAATTTTGTATTATTTTGAATTTTTTATATGTTGATATATATATATATTTTTGTAATTTGAAAACTTACAATTGTTTGTTCTGTAAACCTATTCATGTATATTACTCAATGAATTAAAGAAAAATACTATTATGAATGAGAAATCCAGGTCATCTCCTATTTAACAAGGACCTTAAAGACAAACATTTAAAATTTATATATATATAAAGACAAACTCAATGCTGTCGTTCGTTAATCCCACTTCCCATCACTTCGACAGGGCCGTCCGTAACCTCCTGCCTCGCTGTCGTTTGTAACCTCTTGCCTCGCCGTGGTGAGCTTCAGCCAAACTCCGGCGCCACTGTCCTCACAGCTTCGCAACCACGCTTTCCTCGTCGTCGACCTTCCCGATAGCTTCAGCGGAGCTACCAGGACGATCCCAACGGATGGTGTCAGCAAACTTGGGTTTTTGGGGCATTTCCAATTTTTAAACTCATAAACGCTCGACCAGAAGCCACGGATATAGTAGATATCTTGCTTCGACAATATTGTATCAAACAACCACGATAAGCGTTATGGTCGTTCTCTACAACGGAATAGAAGTCTGCCTAGTGCTCAGATGAGGCATAAGTGTGCATGGAAAATGCGTCGGCACTAATCCTTAGGAGATCCAAAATTTCAAAAAGAAGAAAGTACAACGAAGGAGGGCCCACCAGCAGAAGGCTAGAAGGGCCACATATTGGACCGGATACAGCCATCTGGGCCAAAGCAACTAAGATCAAGACAGACCAAGTCATGGAGGCGATGAAATGACCTAAACTTGAACCCATCTAGTTAAAACAAGAAAGTTGTCTAAGCCAACCACTATAAGAAAATTGAGCGAAAGCATCGACATATATATATATGTAAGTACAATCCAAGAACAAATCAAGTTCCTTGACATCACCGGCCCCCCATGAATGCTCCCAAGGATTCCTCATTAGGTACCAAGAGTTGGCCACTCAATGAAGCCTCACAATGATTCAAAGACCCCCTATTTAAGAAATGACATATCTACAAAGTTACAACAATTCATCTTTTGCTCAATAGCCTAGTCTCATTTTACGGACAAGAGCTTGTATTGGGATCGATGGTCAACAGTCAAACTAAATAAGTTGATCATCGAAGTCTAGTCGACTGAGCATTTTTACTGACCTAAAGATAAATGATTCCAACCAACTTAGTCAAGTCGACTGGATCGGCCTTACAGGGTCGAAGTCGTGCCAACACAATGGACCCAATCATAGGGGAGTCAGGCTATATGCTCGTGTTTGTAAAGTAGCTAAAATATCCTATATTGGTCCCATTAAAGCTGAATAAGATAGTTCTTTAGGCACCAGTGTACCACCTTAGGCTTAAGCTATAATATCCTTCACTTGCTACTTGATAAGAGACTTAAAGTTTTTATCATGGATAAATGGCACTTTAGAGTGTTTCTTGGAGACTTCTCCTCAGTTATTTTGGTCCTTAAGTTGTTGATTATACAAACAACTCCAGATGTCTCTACTTCCACATTTACTGACACTATAGTTGGAGTTCGCATTAGGATATGGGGTGTTGAAACCAATAATTCTCCCATCCTCTTTTCTAGTATTTTTATCTTCTCATCTCTTTATCTTAGCACATCAGACAGACGTTGAGTTCTGTTAGGTGGAAAAATTGCTTTGACCACAACATCTTGATGATATAGATATGTATTGATATCAGGAGTGGATATTGATTTAAAGGGATATAATTCATTATCTCATCCATCTTTCTCTCCAATTTTTTTGTTATTTTATCCTTCTACCTTAATTGAGTTAAAATATGTTGGGATGTGCTTAGTGTGACGCTTTTCTCAACCATAAAATCTTGCAGATCAGCTTCATTTTTTTTGCTCTCTTTATGAAGCTCTGGTTTCAACTATTATTTAGTGGTAGTTGCCTCTAATTTTTTTAAGGATTCATCTTCTTCCTTTTGTTCTTTAATGCTAGCTTTTAGTTCACTTGACACTTCATTGATAATTTTACCTTTGAAATTCATTGTATCAATAGGGAGGTATTTGGGCTCTTCATCAATATCCCTTTCCTTCACTCTAACATCAGCTTCCCTCATAATAACCTAATATCATCTATAGGAGGAGGTGACACTTTAAATTCAAAGCATAAATATATTATCAGTAGGGACATCTTCTTTTCATCCTTAACCCTTGGGGTTCTTTGGAGGGACTGCGGGATGAAAGGAAGTGCCTCAGGTGATAGGAGGTGTACTTTCTAGGTTTTTTTGAAGAGATATATGGATTAAGAATGTGCTTATGGGGATATGCAATGTAAGGGATGAACCGATGATGAATTAATACATATATATATATATATATATCTTAATCTTTTGGACCTAATTATCATAATATTATCGATGGTTCTAGGCTTAGAGCTTCCATGATAATGGTTATTTCCATGTAATTATGCATGGGAACTTCTTTGATAATTATGCAATCTTCCTTGGTGACTATCATATTTTAAGATTTTATTCTTCTCCTCTTAGGAAACAATGCCCTCTGCTGATTTAAGATCTTTTTCCATAGTACAATTTTCCCTATGTGTTATCCTCTTAAATATCTCAAGTAAATGAGGATGCCAATGCTTATTTTTTCCTTACTAATATTCTCATACTTAAAAGAAGGAAGACGATGATCAGCTATTATACATATATATTCTTCTTCTTAAACAACAAAAAGTGAGTGAAACCAACTTCCTCCCAAAAGAGGAGAGGTTTTAAATAAGTCAGATCTGTTTTCATAGGCATCATTCTTCTCGGTTAACTTCTTCTCCTTATCAGCTCAAATTTACTTTTTATGAAGTCTTCTATTCTTATTTATTTCTTAAGTCTTGGTTAGCACAATTGTTGTCATGGAAGATGAACCAACTTCAAATATCGATGGGTCATTACAAACTTCACCTAATACTCAACTGATTTCTCATCCATCATTTTAATAGACCTAAGAATTTTAGTGACTTAAATGACTTGATGAGTTTTTTTTGCTTCCTCAAAAATATTTTGAATAGCAGAAAAACAGTCACAACTTGGGAACAGTCAATATTTCTCTTCTTTAAGAGTAAGAAATCTTCTTTAGACTTAAAGTCGAATTCCATATGGAGTTCTTTCTCATCGAAAACTTGGGGATCTACCATAGAAAAGCTAAGATCATCAGATGTCTTCTTCAAATAATCAAATCCCATTAAAAAATTAATGACAATGCTGAGATGAAATGGATTAAGTGATAGGCTTCGTCCATTTTAAAAGGAGAAAATCAGCTTAGGGAACGACAACTTTCATGTAGTGGGGATACAAGGA